AAATAGGCAGCCATGTTGTGTTATTGCTAGATCGTGAGGGAGGTAGTGCAGACCCTCGACCACGACTTCAAATTTGCTGTTTGGAGGACTGGGTAGTTGGTGGGCGACCTTGATTAGGTCGTCTTCTCTGAGGTCGTTGCCTTGGCCTAGTGTCCTCATAGGGTCTCTGTGGCCGGTTGTATTGCCCATATCTATAACGATTGTACGTATTATATGGGGTGTATCGCCTGCGTTTGAAGGGCGGTGTATACATGCCTAGTGTGCGAAGTGTGGTTTTCGAGTTCTTACTATTATGTAGCATTTCGTCTGTAGAAGCTGCAAATAATTTTTGTTTATCAAATGGCAAGCCTTCTACTTTTGGCTGAAGTTCGTTTAATAAGTGATGTTGTTTCTTTTGTACTTCTTGTAGGGAGACATGCTGACTTGTTGCTACTCGCTTAAATAGCTCCTGGAACTGTTTAAGGTCATCCATCGCTACGGTATCTGATGGTATCACTGCATCGTCCTGTTGGGCAGTCAGGTCATCTGGGTGAGTGACGTTTATAGATTGAATGTCTGATTCATTATCCGAAAAGCGCTCCTCCTCCTCTTCCTGCTCTGTGTGTGATGCAGGGGGTAGGGGCTGTGGATGAGGCAGACCTCTCCGAGATGGTGTGGAGTGGACTGAGGACCGGCGTCTGTACGGGTCCCATTGGTCCCAGGGCCCCCATTGGGGTGGATAAGGTGGGGGCGGGTAAGACCAGTAGGGGTGCCATGGGTTTTGTTGCGGTCCAGCCCTCTGATAATAGGAACGAGACCCCCTTGGCGACGTCTGTCGCGAAGAATATGTCGTATGGCGGTCATCCTCTAGAAAGGGAGCGCCATGAAAGGACACTGGGGACACAGATCTGGCAGGGGAATGCCTTGCAAGGGATGTCCCTGGTGAGCAGTCAATGGGAGGGGGGCAGGGCTGCTGCTGCCTGCTGTGAGAGTCAGACGGAGTCTTAGAGAGCTCTGCAGCAGACTCCCGAAGAAGCCTCTCATTGTCTGTTGCCGGTGCCGGTGCCGAGCTCTGGTTTGTGGTCGCAACCGGTGCCGGCTGTGTATTAGACTTGCTTTGTTGCGGTGCGGGTTGTTTTAGCGGTGCCGTTCCTTTAAGCGGCACCGGGGTTTTTCGCGGTGCCGGGGCTTGCAGCGGCGCCGCGGTTTGAAGCGGCGCCGGCTTTTCTTTTCGCCCGGGTTTCTCAGTGTGTTCCCGGGAGGGCTCAGAAGCTGCGCGCACCGGCGCCACCGGGGTTTTTCGCGGTGCCGGGGCTTGCAGCGGCGCCGCGGTTTGAAGCGGCGCCGGCTTTTCTTTTCGCCCGGGTTTCTCAGTGCGTTCCCGGGAGGGCTCAGAAGCAGCGCGCACCGGCGCTGATGTAGACCGGGAGGATTTTCCCTCTGCCTTATTAGCAGGGGTCCCCGGGTTTCTTTGCCCCTCTCCCTGGGTTTTGGGAGAGGAAGAAGGCGGGAGAGAGCGAGATGGTGAGGCTCTCTGCCTTGTAAGTTTCGTTGGCAGGGGAGTTTCGTGCTGCAGTTCCCCCTGCTCTGAAGGCTGCAGAGTCTTATCAAATAAAATCATCCTCAGGCGGAGCTCTCTATCTTTTCTAGCTCTCGCCGTGAGGGAAGCACACTGTGTGAAGCTGCGGGCTGAGTGAGCTTCCCCCAAGCAGCGGATACATTTCGTATGGCCGTCAGAAGCCGGCATAGGCTCGCGGCACTGGTCGCATTTTTTAAAGCCTGAGGAGGCAGACATATCTTGCTGCTTGTTTCTTTAAAGTGTTGGTATTTCGTTTCTTTTTCTTTTATATGGTTTATGTGTTTTTCTGGCTGAGGAGCCAGGAGAGAGAGAGCTCCGGTTCACCCGGGGCTCCGGTCTGAAGGGAGTTTTAGTCCCCGAGGGGGGATTTTGTTGTCAGTTTCGTTCTTCTTATAAAAAAATATTTTGTTGTTATTATTTCAAAGAGAAAAACAAGGGAAACTAACTTGGAGTAACAGGGGAAAAACTATGTAACCTAACTAATAGAAAATACAGTCTGAGAGACTGTGAGGGAGCTCCTGCTCGCTCCGTCCGCTGACGAGGGCGGTTAAAGAGGAACTGAAAGGGAGGGGGGTGAGCCGCGCGCTGCAGAGGGCGGGAAGGGCTCGAGACGCCCTCTGGGCATGCGTGGCTCAACAGGGGGAAAACTGCTTTGAAAAGCTCCGATCTGCGGCTCAGGGCGACCCTTCACCTAGAGTGGAGCACCCACGGGGACACTACTCGAAGAAGAAACAAAGGGTACGAGGCAAAAGGTATTTCAAGGTGGCAAGTTTTAACAAATGACATGTGCCAATTCTCAGTATTAAGATTACTTGTGTCTTGGAAAGGAAATTATATCTGATGTGTCTAATTTTGTGTATGACACAACCAAACAAGTGTATAAAGGAAAGGAGCAAATGTTTATAAGGATTGATGGGCAACTCATGCAATCAACAGAACAAACAGAAGTCACATGAATTTCACCTGCTGCTTCAGAGAGGTACCAGGAAGCCCAAATACATCTTCTCCCTTGGTCTGCGCTGGCAGTAGATAGACGGGTGCCAACAATAAACTGACAACTCTGCTACCAGCTGCTCACAGACCCTTTGTCTTTCAGAACCCCTTCTAACAGACAGGCTCAGATTTCAAGGATTCTGTTTTATGTCCAACTCAGTAAAGCATTTAAGCACATGCCACAGAATCACGGAAATAATCTTTTCCTTTGATGGGATGCAAAGCTCAAAAGTAGATTCTATTTAAAATGTATTTTGTACCTGCAGAATGGCAACTTCATTACGAAGCTGACTTTCCTGTTTTGTGGGGAACCTCATCTTATCAATGACCTTAATAGCCACATCCCTTCCAGTCTTCCTATGCTTTCCTAAAAGAAAAGCAGTGCCACAGATCAAACAGCAGAAAATTGTTCATTAACAAAGTTACAGCGGGAAATTTTGGGAAAACTTTGTGGAAATGGGTGGAGTCTGCACAATCATAAAAGTTAATACACACCTGAGTTGAAAACTATAACTGGTAAATGAATTTACGTATGACACCAAGTACTCTCAGTCCAGAAATGCAGGATTTTTCTACAGCATTAATTTAAAGAGACGGTTGCTTTGCTGTCCAATCTGTGCAATTGATAGTGTATATATGATGTAAATTTCACACACACTCCCAACGCAAATGACCTATGCACCATTAACTCCGACAAAAGTCCATAAAATCCTGGCTTCTTCCATGCTAATGTTCAGGATGGAGTGGGAGCAGGTGTAAGAATTTCTCTCTCCTGTTGTTCCAGTAGCCAAAAGATACTTCCATAATGTGCAGGAATGTGCTAAAAATTGCTAATTCATTGGTTGGCACCTCATGTCGCCCACAGGGTATAGTCTACATGAAAAGGGGTATGGTAGCCCTCAGCAGATGTGCTGCCATCAGAAAGCTCTAAATGACTATGGTTAGGGAAAACAGGCTGGTCCAGTTGTGTGTCATTAGGCTATTTTATACTCTAGGGATGGGAAACCTACAGCCCGGGGAATAGCTTGCCTGAATTCCGCCCAGCATTAGGAAGCCTGCACTGGTGCTCCAGCCCCGCAGCCACCTCCCAGCTCCCTGCCCCTGCAACTCGCCTGCGAGATTTGAGTGCCAGCACTGGCTCCCTGCTGTGAGAGGAGGAACCCCAGAGTCAGGCAACTTGAGGCTGGCTCTGACCCACCAGCTCCGCCTGGCAGGAGAGGAAGTGGCTCTGCGTGACATCACTCCCTCTCCCTTTCCCCCGACTGTCTAAACGGCAGTGCAACAAAGCACTGCCTGGAAGCTTTTCCCCCACCACTCTGATTGGCTGTAATGGTAGCCAATAGGAGCAGCAGAAGGCAGTGCCTGCGAATGGTGGGAGACACCGAGCCATGTGCACTCCTGGGGTGCTATGCCAGGTAAGCACTCCTCCATTGCCCAGACCCCCAGCCTGCTCCTGCATCCCTCTCTCCCCAGGTCCTCCTCAGCCCCCTCCCACACAATTAACTCCTTAATTTTGGCCACACCCCAGAGCGTTGGGATGCCTACAAAATCTACTACAGCCCAGACCTCTTAGGCTGTTGTGTACAGGGTAAAGGTGGGGATGTCTCTGTGTCTTTCAGTCGGGGGCTTTGTCAGTGAAGTGTCTCTTTTTTTGTTTTGTTTCTCACTTTTGTGAAGCCCCTGACTGATTTTCATGTGGGTCAGTGACCCCGATCCAAAAAAGGTTCCCAAGTCCTGTTCCACAAAGACAGGATGGCTCAAATGCTGATCATGCAGCTGCCCACCCTACACTCCCACACATGCTCAATTGTTTCCTGTAATATTAGGATTAAGCCATCAATGAAGAGAGCAGGTTAATGAGGTCAGGCACAGAAGGACCTTGGTAATCTAACACACACATTAATATTAAATCTAGAATGAGACTGTTACAAAAACAAAAGGGATGTCTGCTCAGTGCAAATGCTGAAAACTATTTTATACTACTAAAAAAATGTATAAAGTACACAGAAAAGTCCACAACCATAGTGTAAGAGGCACAGAGAATGCTACGGTGCACTGCTAAACAAATACTATAAGGAAGTCAAACTACTGCTATATAAACAATCTAGCTAGACCTCACCTGGAGTTCTGTATTCAGTACTGGTGGTCATGGCTTAGTGTCAAGGTATAGTAATTGCTCCTGAAGATTGTTGCATGGAGCAATCAACATAACAACGTACCTGCCTTAAAGATTTACATGATGAATAAAGGGTAAAAAAGGCTTATTTCCACTGGACAAAATGAAGTAAACTTAATGGAGGCCTAACTGATGTTACAAATGGCAACACAGTAGCCAAACAGACTTCATAATTGAAGTTTGTGTTCTCATATTTTTTATTAAATTATTAAAAATAATTAAATCAAATTAGAAGAAACTAATACAATGAAAGCCTTGCAATATATTCTTGACTGATAGAAAAAATGGCATAAACATTGAAATCCTTCCAAGGGATTTAGGAGATCTGTTTTGAGGCATTCAGTAGCAATACCAAATAAAACCTTTGGATGACATAAAGCTATTCTGAAATGATATAAATTACAGCCTCCTCTAAAGTTAAATATATATACACAGAGAGAGAGAGGGATACTAGTTCCACTAAATATCAAATTATACCTAAATGACACAGAAATAAATTAAAGAGTGAACTAGACATATTTCCTTGGGATACTGGACTTGATTAAGGAACATCAAACCGGGAGACAATATTTGGCTAGAGAACAGACGAGAGCTGTGCTCACACACAGGTGGAAGTTAACAAAATCCTGGGTTCAAAGCTGCTTTAAAACACAGCCCTTTGATATGATATTGCTGTCAAATTTTACACCAGTAAGAGATTACCCAAATATATTCCATTTTTACTACCTACAAGTTCAAAATTGTCCTAGATTTGCCAAAAAAAACCATACCAAATTTATCATAATTGTATATAATTATAGCAAGTATAATTAAACAATTAAATAAGTATAATGCATCACAACATAATTTAATAAAATATTTGTAATTCAATAATAAATGCATAAATAAACCAATAGGATGCTCTAAGTGACGTTTTCTAAAAAATATGAGAACACAAAACGAAACAAAGTATTTTATTCACTATATGTTGACTAGAAGGAAACAGATGCAAATTTTAAATGAATAAGAATATTATGGTATAATGGTTACCAGATCCAACCTATGAACTATGGGCAATAAAGGCCAAAACAGTACTGGTCCCAACATATTAGCAAGAGAAGGTGGATGAGGTAATACCTTTTATTGGCCCACATTCCATTTGCGAAGAGACAAGCTTTCAACTTACACACAACACTTCTTCAGGAGACAAGGAGTTCTGTGTAATCTCAAAAGCTTGTCTCCATCAGAAGTTGGCCTTCACCTACCTTGTCTCAGCAATAAATAGATCGATTCAGGCAGAACATAACATTAACGTAAGACTATGGTTTATATTCTTTTCATGCGCTCCCATTTTCCTTGTGATGTTATTGTCTTAAATATGTTACACCATACGTGCATTTTAAAACGGTGGAGTGAACTAAAGAAGTTGGATAAATACCTCCTACAAGCATTGAACATATTGGCTAAAATGAGCACTGAAGCAAAGAGTAATTGTAAGAGGAGTTTCTATACAAAGGACAGCATAATTATGAGAGTGAATAAGAAGCTGAACATGGAAAATTATCTAATTCTGTCACAATCTCTCTTTCCCATCCCACACTGCCATTTTAAAAGAAAATGCTTACACAAAATGTCATGTTACTACCATAGGTGGCAATAGGAGGACTATGCAGCTCCCCCCCAAAACCCTGGTCCAACCCCAGCTCTGCTTCAGCCCCATAAAGCTATGACCCTTGAGTCCCAGCTCTGTACCTGTACCTATCTCCAGCCTCAGCCTGGCTGGCTGCTGGCCCAGCCTCAGCCTCAGCCTCAGCCCTTCCTGGTTGCTGGGGAAGCCAGGCTGCCGCACCACAGCCCCAGCCTTCCTGGCAGCCGGGGCGTGTAGGCAATTTTGGGAAAGCTGTGTTTTCCCTTGCCTACATTACCGGCCACCCATGGTTACCACTCTCCAGTGGTCCAGAGGCAAAAGAAATTTCTATCAAAAGTGACATACAGCTACTACCCTATCAACATACTTCTCAATCACAAAATGTTTAGAGTAAGGAGAAGGATATTAATCACACAACTCAGATACAGAAGAATTAAAGTTTCAATGCTTTCTAGACAATGGAGACAAAATATCCGAAATGTAAAAGATATTTTCTTCCTTTTCATTGACCTTTTAATTATTATTCTTTTGCCTCTTTCCTTGCTCTCTGACAGAAGAAGTCTTAACAATAAGTAACAATGATCTGTTCTGGAACAAGGAAACAGGAGATGGAACAAAACTAGCACTACAGTAGATTGTTTCATTTCCAGGATTTCATTTATTCACAATTTCACATTACAAATAATATGTTGTAACTTAAGCATTTTAAAATGAAAGATTATATGTCACTGGGACAACTCAGGTATGAATAGAGATATGGAATGTGACTGTAGCTAATATATAGACACTAACTAAGTATACCCTCCAGTATAAGCACATGCATAGCAAGAGTTTACAGTAACTTACCTCCATACACAATGCCAAACTGACCGGAACCTAGCACCTCATCAGCAAAGATCTGATATACAGAGCTGATATCCTATTACATGAAAAAGATAAGCCGCAAGCATTAGGAGCAATCAGAGAGAACATAAGAATGGCCAGACCAAAGGTCCATCTAGCCCAGTATCCTGTCTTCTGACACTGGACAATTCTAGATGACCCCAGAAGATATGAACAGAACAGGTAATCATCAAGTGATCCTACTGTTACCCAGTCCCAGCTTCTGACAAACAGAGGCTAGGGACACCATTCCTACCCACACTAGCTAATAAGCAATGAGCAAATATCCATTTGGACATTGAATAGTAATTGTTAATTTGAACTAAACTGTTAGGGTGCATCTAGACAGCATCCTTCTGTCAGAATAAGCTACTTATTTTGAGTCTTAAGTCCAAAGAGCTTATTTTAAAATTTGGTACTCTGTAGACAGTGCCAAATTTCAAAATAAGGCATTATTGCGATAAATCCCTTAACCCTCATGTAACAAGGGTTACAAGGACACTGTAATAGTGCACCCACTATTTCGGGAAATAGCAGGTACTTTCAAAGATATTTCAAGTACAGGCAGTCCCCGGGTTACGTACAAGATAGGGACTGTAGGTTTGTTCTTAAGTTGAATCTGTAGGTAGATCAGAACTGGAGTCCAGATTCAGCCACGGTTGAAACTGATCAGTTTCAACCGTGGCTGAATCTGGACTCCAGTTCTGATCTACCTACAGATTCAACTTAAGAAATCCAGGCGTCCCCAAGTCAGCTGCTGCTGAAACTGTTCAGCGGCTGATTCCAGGAAGCCCGGGGCAGAGCAACTTTGCCTCCGGCTTCCTACTACCTACAGATTCAACTTAAGAAATCCAGGCGTCCCCAAGTCAGCTGCTGCTGAAACTGTTCAGCGGCTGATTCCAGGAAGCCCGGGGCAGAGCAACTTT